TAACAAAACGTGAATAATTGAATTATCCATTTCAAACTGAAAATGTTTAGCTCAATTAAATTTATTTGAATTAAGCGATCACTGAAGAATGAATATTTCGCCGAAATTTTTTGTTTTTAATACTTTCGTAGAACTATAAATCTCCTGTGGAAAGTTTATATATATTGCGAATCAAACTAACTCTATCGCGAAACTCGGAATTATTTATAATAAATACGTCTAAATAACAAAAATAATCTGTGTTGTAGAAATATCTCTTACTCAAGTGACTCATCACATAAATTGTAATTGATGAATTTGCAATGCCTAATGTGATGAATCATTTAGTTAATTTCCATACTTTTTGATTTTGTACGTTTATTTTTAATGGTTCAATTATTATAAATCACTAAGGAAATGAGGAACGTCAAGGTATCATCCCTTCAGGTCAATCATTCTCATTCTATTACATTTATCAGTAAAAATTGTCTCGACGTATTTCGGTGTTATTCTACACTACTACCAACTAAGTCTAAGCGAATCCCTCCCGGATCAACAAACTGCGAAACCCCCAGCGCTATAGATTCTATATCGATAAATCACTTACAATTCGTCTGCCACACTGCAGTGACTGTTAAAACATCTATGTTCATGCTAAATTTACAGTAAATAAATATTAAAACCAAACAAACTTTTAATTGCATTGCAATGCCTTTCAATAGCTGCTGGAGTAAGATGAAGAAAATTCGGTATTTTGACCAATTCCAAATTGCCCTCCTAAAATTTAAACAATAAGTTTTGCAAGTGTGTTAATAAATCATAGAATGTACAGGTGTTTAGTTTTATAATTAAAACATGTTGTCAATATCAGTACTTTCAGGCAGAAATCCTATTAAAAAAACCACACAGGAATGTCGAAATTAAACTGCCGTTTTGAATGGTGGTCTCCTTTCGGGATGCCTCCTAGCGCCCATTCGAACTGGAAGTGGTACCACAGAGGATCGGAATGAACGTGCTACTGGCCAAACACTTGGCCAGTCTTGTTCGGTACTCATTTCTTCCTTTCGCGGCCGACGAACCTAAATGTTCTTTCAGTTTTAGCTCCCAATTATAAGCATTATTAAAGCAAAAAAAGCAGATATAAAATTGAAGAGTGGACAAAAATGGAAAGATCAAATAGCGAAACCTGACATATATGAGAAGCGACATATACAGATATACAATAGAAAACTTTAAAATTTCTCCTGATAACGATATAATTCAATATATCAACTTGGAGATTCAGTAAAGCAGTGAATGTATGGACATACATTCCTTACTTAATTAATCTAATTCAAATTTAAACGAACACGATGTATTTCACCAATGGAATATATCACACCTATATATTTTCATTACAAGTTCTTATTTGTGTAAATTTTGTTATTCAAACATGAAAAGTAATGACATATATGGTGCTAATTTTGTAAGAAGAATGATATACTATTCACTTACCAGCATTCGCTGAAATATATCACCACGTGGTAGACTTTGAACTTTCGTTTGGCCTGTTTGCCTTTCGATGTTTAACTGCACGCGCAATTTGCGCTTTGGACCCAAAAATATGGGACGGAACGGCTCACCCTGTTAAATTCTTAAAATTTTAAATACTAAAAATTTGAATTTCAACAACGAGTTCTCTCACAATTAAATACCATTAATTACTTCAACCGGTTAATTTTAGTTCTCCTGCTTGGTTAAAAGGATTAACAATACCGATGAATAATTTAATGTCAACCATTAACCCTTCCCTCCAATTTACTAATCACTTCTAACACGCAAATGCCTAAATTTCCTCTGATATATTCGAGATTTTCCTCACCGATCTAACAGTTGATGAGGATGAAAACTAAGATTAGACATTACTTTGCTATCTCGCTGCTCATTCAAAATTCGTTTCTGGTCTTCTTCACTATCTTCAGGATTAATTCCAGAAACAGCTCGTTTCATCTTTTCAGCTAATGTCGACTGCAATCGGCATGTACTTGCGTGTGGTCGAAACCGTGCGCAAATTCGTAACGTTAACATATCACTTCATGCAATCTAGAAGAATTATGAAACTGACACTTGTATGCATTTAAACTAAAATGGAAACAAAAACAAATTTATAGTAATACTGCTACGAAAACTGCTGCAGAACGTTAAATCATTAAATTAAATAGCAAATCAATTTATTTTCAAAAGATTATGCACTTATGGAGCACCAAAGGAAAAAACAGAGAATGATACTAATATTCGAATCAGAATACAGAAATCAGAATACAACCAGAATACAAATCTGACAAATTTTGTACAAAAAACAAAATTACTTAAGCAGAAAAATGGAAGCCGTGTTTTAAAGAGTTCGAAAGAGATTACTAAGATCAGAGAAATATGAATGGTATTGCGCCATGCGAAAAGATCATCAAGATTAGTAATTCGGAAAAACACTGTCACACAATCCGATATATTGCGGCGATTTGGAATTTAGCTACTTGGAGAATATTCGCAACAGGTCCATGCTCTAGTTGCGATTATTTAATCAAATAAATTGTTGCTGAAACTATAGCGATTGTTCACGGATATTTGTGTTTCATCGTATAATGAATGATCTGTTTATCCACAGCAATAAAATTTGAAAGTTTCCACTTTTGCTTTTAATTTTTTGTTATAACAAAAAAAAAAAATGAATAAAATGAATTTTTCTTTTTAACAATTAAATCAATAAAATATGTTAAATTTGATAATTCAAATGAAACAAAAGAATTTATCGATCGGTTTAATTTAAAACAAATTTAATTAACAAATATGAAGAAAAGATAATACATTATTGGAGGAAAAAATTTATGCAACTATTTAAATATTATAAAATAATTTCAAAGAAATAATTTCACTTCAAAGAAAATTTAATTAAGAAAAAAAATTACACTTTAATTCTTTTAATTTAATTACTTTAAATTTGTTTACATTTTTAACTAAAATCATTCAATTTGTTTACATTTTAGTTTTCTTTTTACTCAAAATTTCATATAATTTATGTATTTGTTCATTTTATTTACCCTCTTTATTTGTTGCTTTCTTTCAACGAAAACGTTGTATAATTTAAGATAGATTGGAAGTAAGTCAGATGAGTATACGGTGATTGTGAACAAATTTAACTTTAACAGATTGCAAAAGTATCTTTGGTAAATAATATCTTTCAATCTATTTGAAATTAATAAGTTATTATCGATTTAATGAATCAATTAAAAAAAACCGGTAATTTTAACATTGCTCTACGACATATGTATATATGAAGATCATTGAGGTAACTTAATGATAGGTGAACAAGTTATCAAAATGCTAAAATTACCGGTTTTTATTGATGCAACGAATCGATAACTTTATTTGTCTAATTAAGTAATTTTGTTTTTTACCAAATTTGTCAGACGGTTATATTCTAATTCGAATAGTTGTAAAACACATAACGACAAAATATGTTTGTATATAATTGGTTGAAAGACTTCTTTCATTCTTTTCGCTCTATCAAAAAATAAAAGAGAAAAGTGATAATTTTAAAAAGAACTTTTTTGATAGCTTATCATTATTAGTACCTATAAAGATAAAAAGAGTATATGTGAAGTGAAAAATATTTGTCAAGCATTAAATATTGTAACATTAGAGACAGCTGTATATTGCTTGGAATTTATTTGAGGGGGAAAAATAGATTAGTACGTTGTTTCGTCTCTCTCTCTCTCTCTCTCTCTCTCCCTTTCTCTATAACTTTTCTTTTAACCTTTTCTATTTTTTCATCGATTTTTTTGTACAATTTTTTTTCACACTTTTTTTTAAACTTTTCAAATGTTATCAAACATTTAGTGATAATCGTGATATTTGATAAATTTAATCCATTTTCAAATAAATTTGGAATAATATATAGAGAGATAAAAAGAGTAAGAATAAAATATCATTCATTTACTTACAAATGATATATGTTTTTTAAAAAAGAAGAAAAGTATAAAGTGAGGAAGTTAGTGAAACGATGGAAAAGATGTCAGCTGTTCATGTTAGTGTTATTAAATAAATGAATACCTTTCACAACAATTATTGTGTAAAAGGTATTAAGTAAGAAGTGAAAGTTACTTCATTTTTAGGAGGAGCAGGAAGAAAAAGAAGAAAGGAAAAACTTTTCCATTATTTATCCTATTATCAGTATCGGAGAAGAACAGCTATGCTTCCGTATGTCTATTTTTTTTCCTTTAATTTAATCTAATTAAAAATTCAAATATTAATTTCAAATGAAATAAGAGATATTTTATTTATAGACTCCAGTAATATTTCTTGCTCACTTATGCTTACTATTTAAGAAAGAATAACATTTATTCAAGATCATACTTTTATTTCTGAATTGCTTCTCCGGATTAAATTAATGAAATCGTGCAATTGCACAAAAGCCATTCTTTTCTTTTAAATTACAAGAGAAAAATTTTTGGAATTTATGAAATAATTTCAGAAGATTGCAACGTAAAATCTCAGCTGATGTTATTTATACGGCAGATACTGTTGGTTCTGCACGGATTGTTTATGATGAAAAAGCAATGAAATTACAGGCAAAAAAATTTATCATATCTATATCATTCATTAAGCTTTCCTAATTCTGTTTCTAATTAGGCCTTCAATTTAATATTGTCAGCAAAATCTTGGTTTTATTGTTTTTAAGTGCAGTAATATAGGAATAGATATAAAGATATGCTTTAAGAAAATTCAAATTTCTTTCCTTTAAGCAAATTAGAATTAATTTCCCCAAAAAAAGCCGCATTAAAAATCTTATAGCAACATTTTTAAAATTTGATATGATTTGTTTAGATGACTGTTATCTTCTCTTATTTCTGGATTTCTTATCCGGATTAAATAAATGAGATCATGCAATTGCAATAAAACAGTTCCTTAGGCAAGTAAAGTATCTTTCTTGAAAATAATATGATTGCTTAGATGACTGTTATCTTCTCTTATTTCTGGATTTCTTATCCGGATTAAATAAATGAGATCATGCAATTGCAATAAAACAATTCCATAGGCAAGTCAAGTATTTCTCTTGAAAATTTTCCAGAAGAGAAAATTCAAAGTGGTAGGATAATTGATAACTTAATGTGATAGCATTTATGCATCCTTTCATCAAATAAACTCTCCTTTTATATCAATAATATTTTCATTGTTATTTTTGAAAAATTTTAAAATAATTCATCAGTAAATTATTATTTTGTTCGCATGCTATTATTTCTTATCTTACCATTATGATATATTTTAGACATAGGAAATATCGGTGCAACATTATCATGTTAGATTTCTCATTTGAAAAAAATGTTAACAAATAGAAAAGCGAACATAATGAATTGGTCGAACACTTTTAATAAATCATGTGATTTAAGCTGTTTTATCATCTGATCAAATATTGTCGATGAAAAGTATTTTTAGTTTAACTTTTGAAACAAAAGTTGAAAAATGCTGAAATTCCTATATTTCTATTTGAAGTTTATTTAAAAATTAATATTATATTATTGTTGATAATTAAGAATTAAATTATTGATAATTAAGAATGATTTTTTCTTTTATGTTTTTGTTTTTCTTCGGTTACACTAAAAAAGCTTCCATTTTAATATTTATTGATGTATTTTGGTTCGGCATAGATTTTTAATTGGTCCATTGTTTTCTTCTCTCCGAAAGAAAATAATTTATATTTCATCAAGCACTTAATTTTAAATGTATGTATTTCTTTTCTAACGCCGACATTACAAAAGCGCTGTAAACATAATTTATATGGTATATCTTTGGTTTTCATCGTAAGATCCAAATCAGAGTCAAGCATACTTCATTTTTTTCTACATTTCGATATCTGATAATATATTTTAAATTGAAACCTAAAATATTGTAAACATATTTCGCTTTCATTATTGAGTACATTCAGCAATTAAGTGCAGAATTTTCCGATACATATAACTGTAACTAAAAAAAATTGACGTCAAATTTAAATTTAAAGAAATATAATTAACTTTCTTTCGGACAGGTAATAAAATAAAGCAATCCAAGCATCGATAGAAAACTAAAATTTATAATAAAAATGAAAATGGAATTTTTTTCCGATAGAGGTGAAGAAGAAGGAAAAACAATAAAAAATTAATTTCTAATCATCGACAATGCAATATTATCGATTTTTAAGCAAACTTTTCCTATAAAATATTCTATCACATTTTTAACTATAAATCTTAAGTGCAGAAATCGCATATTTAAATTTCAGATTTTGGAATTTAGTTCGAACGATTAAAAATATTCTGAAAATATTTTATTTACATTCATTCACAGAATTTATAATGTTAAGAATTAATAATATAAAATCATCTTTCCACTCTCATCAACATTCTACATTAATTTCGATCTTTTTTATTTTTAAAACAGACATATCAAATGATAAATTCATATAATCAAAACAACAATATGGTTAAAGGTCATTTCAGGGTGTATTAATCGATAAAAATGGCAGATGTTTTTCATTATTTGGTAGTGTTGTACCAGATGAAAAACAATCAACAACTGTATCGATGAATTTTGATGTATTAGATGGTGAATCTAACCATATCAAAGTTCATTTTTTTTGTCGCTCTCTTTTTCTTTTCCTAAAACGAAAAGTTTATGTTATTTATTATTTTTTAAATATTTTTAAAAGAATCGAAGCGGTTAATGAATAATCATTGTTGTTAGCTGTATAGTATGATGAGATCTTTAATAGAAATAATATTGATAATTCATGTGATACATTAAATGTCGTATTACTATATGTAACAAATAATATGAAGTAATGATAATTTTCAGATTGATGATGTAATCATGAAATTAGATACTGATCCGAAAACAGAACACCGAAGGATGACCTTAGAGCATCCATCACTCAAATTTGTTACCGAAAGATGGCATCATGGATACAGGTAAATGCTGATTATTTCTTTTGTCTCTTTATAAAATTTTATATTCATAGTTTCATAAAATTATTTCGGTATTGTATCATTGTGAATTCTTATTGCAGAGATTTGGATTTGAAACATTCGAACTGTAGTGAAGGGATAGTTGATTTGATACAGTTATCAGCAATAGTATAACTGAGTCAATCCCGTCGTTATTCTCCTTTGTAGGTGAGGATAGTTGGGATCACGCCTGAAGCAGTGATTCCAAGAAACTTTATAACTGGTGGGTAGGATAAAAATTAACTCCGTCAGTAAGCAGCTACACATTGCTTTCGAGTGGACAGTTCTTAGTGAGTACTATTCACAGTAAAATGGACAAAGTGATGGTGTGGGTGTAAGTGATGTTAATTAGGAGATCGCTTGATAGAAAAACTGATAGCAAAGAAAGGATCGTTCCAACATATTTGAACAAGGGGATATGGTAATCCAACGATCATACATAAGCCCTTACATGTATTTCATGAATAATCTGTATAGTGTGAATTGGCTCTAAAAGGATAAATTTGGAATAATTTTCTAGAATGGAAGTACTTCGATTATTTAAACACAACAATTGTTTGATAAGATTATCTCAGGGACAAATAAATTCGGAAAATAAAAAATAACGAATGTAATTAATTAATGCATAATAGTGATAGGAAGAGAATAGAGGCTAAAGAGTTTTTATAATTTCTCAATTTATTTAACTTTTAATTAATAGAACTTTTATACTATTCAGGGCAGATGTAGAAATTCGTAAACATATAAATCCGAAAATGGTTGGCTATGGTTGCGATCTTTTTGTTGGTAATATGAAAATTAGTGTAATAAATACACACTGTTTTGTTCCATTAAAACGACGTTTAAGCTCAGTGAATGATAATATCGTCGAATCGTCCAATGATTTTTTAGCCTAAATCTCCTACATATAAATGCAAACAAACAATCGTTTGTTGACAAATGTTCGGTTGCTTTGTTTTTCTTATATCATTTGTATATACTTTATTGATTATTTCATTTCATAATTAAACATTTATTGTTTCCATTAATGCATATTTGTTTGGTTAACATAGAAACTGTTTTAATTGTAATATATTATATGCATGTATCGATCTATCTATCCATCTATCCATCTATACATCTATCTATCTATCTATCCATTTATTCATCTATCTATCTATCGGTCTACTATCTATCTATCTATATATATATTACTTCATACATATGCTTTAATTTTTCTTAATTACAATCGATCTAGTGGTATACTTTATTCAAAAACTAAAAAAACTTTATTTTTTATGAAAATTGAAAAAAGAAAATTTTGAAAAATTATTTACCTTTGTAACCTAAAAGATAAAATAATGTTATCACATATCATATTTGTAAAGAAAGTTATAAAATACAAAGAAGTGATTAATTGATAAGAATACATTCGCTATCACCTTTTTTTCTTTATTTTAATCAGAAAGAAAGTGCTTACATTATGAAACTATCTTAAATTATACATTATTTTATTCGAATCCTTATCACTAGCCTACATTATTTTATTCGAATTCTTATCACTACTCATTTTTTTAACTTTTATATTTTTTTCGAAATGTGATAGTAATAGTAAGGAATGATTATAGATGAAATGATAATCAATGTTGCCATAAATTTGTATTAGTATTAAAACTTTTTATTATTACTCAAAGTATAAGCAAAAAATATTAATTTAAATTTGAAATGAATAAATAACCATTAAACCTCAATGATTCATTCATTCATTCATTCATCCTTTTTCAATTTCATATAATTCCATCTTTGTCATCTCCGTTTTTCCATTTCAAATATCAACTGCTATCATTAATATTATTCTTCTACACTTCACTCAAAGTTTATACCAACGTTTAATGAAATACTCTATCGTATTATAACTGAATTCATAACATAATCACTTTGCACCTTTTGTATAATACCATTATTTTAGTGATAATCACTTGCAACCTTTTGTATATTACTATTATTTTATGATAAAATTAATTGCAAAATTACAACAAATTGAAATTCAAAAACTTTTTTCTTTTTTTTTTAAAATAAATTTTTATTATTAAAATAAAAGTAAAATTTTATACGAAAAAAATTGGTTTATTAATATGTAAATTGCAAGAAAACTACAAATATGTGTAAATAAATTATTATATAAATGACAAGCTGTCAACAAACATTTCAATAAAGAATTGAATTAATGTCGGAGCTTTCTTTCCCTTAAAATTAAATGGGAAATGGAAAAAGATTAAAAATTATTGGAAACTTATTTTTTGAAATAAATGATTACTAATAACAAAAATGCACCGTTAGTGATTCAATTCATACTGGAATGGAATACTGATAATTTCTGTATCGTTTGATAAGATCCAGTCTATCCAAATAATGGATCATTATCAATCCGATGAAAAGAATTAGAAAGTTTCATAACATAATGATAATATATTATTCGTTAGATGCAAATAAAACAATTAAATCATTTTGTTTGTTTCAAATTCATTTACTTCAATTATTTAATCATAAAATTTTCGTATAATTTTCAGAGTTTCTTTTTCATTTCTTAAATTTTTAATTTTTGCCAAATAAATTCGATTTTTTCTAATAAATTAAAAAATGAGAATGGAAATTAAAATTCTATAATAATTCTATAATAAACAAACCAAATAATTTATTAATTATGAAATTAAAATAATAAATAAAGTTTAATCAATTAAATGCATTATCATCGATTTAGATGTAAATTTCTGCAATAAAATAATTATTAAAATTTTTGGTGAAAATTAATTAATCGATTAATATAAATTAATCGATTAATATAAATTAATCGATTAATTAATTAGGCAAAGAAATGAAGTACAATATCGTCAGTATATATCTATATACATAAGTGATAATTACACGTAAAGAAAAGTTCTAAAACAAAAAATTTTGCACTTATAAATAAATTTAATAATAAATTTACATCGAAATTATTCATACTTCCTCTCTCTCTCTCTCTCTCTCTCTCCTCCAAAACAAATTATATTCAGCTTTTACCTCTATGTGATAAAATAAATTTCTGAATTTATTTTAAATACAATGATAAAAAACATACTACATATTATGTTTTGCTAAAATCCGGCTGGATAACTTCCTGTTTCCCGCCGGAAATCACTATTTCCATAAATGTAATCATCCGCGTCTATTGCAAGTGCTTGTACGACACTTTTTATTTTAGCAATTGCTGTCATATTTTGTTTTCGTTCATTGATCAAATTGCTTATAATTTCCTAAATTTCATAATCAATACAGTAATAGCAAAGAGATTGGCATATTTTCATTTCTCATTCATTACAGTTTATTAATAATATAAATAATTAATGGCTAATTAATGCACTAATAATTGATAAATAAATAAAATTACTTTAGGTACGGATGATTCGTATAAAGTTGTATGAGGCAAAAATTGATTATGAAAACGTGGCGAATCAACGGCTTCCTTAATTGTCTGATTAAGAATAATATTTCGTATAACAGTTTGTGCTATTGCTGAAATAATATATGAACCACCGGATGCACCAACAACCATTCTTATCTAAAAATATATAATTAGTAATTTATTACAAAATTTCTTTTCTAATTATACAATTATCAAAATGCAATATGTTAACTGATAATATTAGCAAACTATACGAATGAATAATATCATAAACGAATATTCTTTTCAAATGTTAACTAAAAATTAAATAAATTTCGCCAATTTTGTATAATTCAAATTTAATCAATTAAAGACAAATTTTTTTTCTTTATAATTTTCCAAATAGCATTTATTGTTTTAATTATAAATTACTTCATTAACATTTTCTTCCATAAACTTTTACCCTTCGTGTATTTTTATTGTAAATAACCAAAGGTGACATGCTGCTTAATGGCCTTTTTCCGGGTTTAATATAATTTGTCGGTGATGGTGCATATCCAAAGGCATTCGGTTGTCCCGGAATTGAGAAATCATCCATTTCATTATTCCAAACAATTCCAAGTGTTGGTGAAATACGCATTGAACCCAATCTGTATTGTAATAGAAATTCATTGATTCCTTTTTCAACTGACACAAATTTTCGAATTATATTTTAACTGTATAATTTTATTGCAAAAATCAAAGGTTTAATACTACAATGTATTTCTTCACTAAAAGCAATATTTAAAACAAAAACAGATTAATTAATTAGCTGTAATTTATTTTTCTGATAATATTCTCTCAAACAATAAAAGAGCACTGAAAAGTTTCAAAATGTCTTTTTCAGCTTTTGCACTTTTCAATTCTTTTAAAATGCTTTGAAATTGATTGGTTACAGTTTACACTGCTTGAATGAACTATAAAACAATTGATGAATTCATTTTAAAGCTCTCTGTTTCTCATCGATTTGCAATTAATTAGGCTCAGATATTTTTATTCGTTTTTTTTACCACAATATCCAACATATCAGAAAAAAATCGTATGTATTCTACTGAGCCACATTTGATTAGATAAATGAAGAATTATTCCCTATTTAACCTTTGACCTTATTTATCATCATATTTGCAATATGAGAAATACATAAATCAAGCAGCAATAATTTCATTATATTTAAGTTAGTGAAAATTAATATTACATAGTATTAATGGTACTCGTGCATGATACCGCAATATTATTATTACGATCGATTGCTGATACATGTGATGTGCCGTGATCTTTAGGTTGTTGAAACAACTCAGTTTTATATGCATCCAGTGATAGCGCTGTATTTTTAATAAGAGATTTGATATGTTTCAGATAAGAACTGAAAAGCAGAAATGGTAAAGATTTTCGATTCGGATTGGAAATTAAAAAATAAATAAATGTTTTATTTTGGATGAGTAATAAAAACAAATGAAATTAATTAAAGTGTAAAATTATCAAATGAATTGATAAAAATAATAATAATCATACAATCAATGTGAAGAAATCCTAAAAACAATGAAACGTAAAATTTTGCATAATAAAATAAAAAATTGAAAAGTTTAAATTTTTTCCATTCTCAAGTAGCTATTCAAAATCATTTCATTCCCAAAATTTACCTTCCAATTATTTTTTCAGCAATTTGTTGAGCATCTGTCACAAATTCTGCATCACCAAGTTTTGTCCTTTGAGCATAAGCAAACTTTTCTGCTTCTATTAAGCGATGATAAAATAATGCATCATCTCTATTAAACTCACTCTTCCCATCGTAAAATTCTGGAAAAGGAAAAAATTATCAGGTGAATAATTGAAATTGATATAGTCTGATATAGTAATTTTTTGAAATGATTAGAATTCTACATTATATGAATTAAAAAATAACACCGATATGTATTAGTTGGATATGTTTGATTAATCCTTCATATCATTCTATTCATTTAACTTTAATAAGCAAAAATTTGATCACTTTTGGTTTTTCAAAAAAAAAAAATCAGCAAATTAAATAATATTAGAATTTATGTATTCAATGAATTAATTAATCAATAAGAAAAGAAAAATATTATCAAATATATTTACCAGCTATAGTTAATATAATACTTTGAGTAACAGCGGATGAACTTGGTGGTGGTGGTCCACACATAGCATAATTATCCAAGAATTGTTCAGTTATGATTGGAATTTCATTTAATTTTGTTTTGTAATTACTTAAATCATCTGCAGATATATGACCACCTAAAAAAGATATGATACATGTCAAACGAATGATACCAGCAACTGGAATGTCAGGAATGATATTTCGATTTTGTTCGGCGTACGAATTAAAGTTGATGTGAAATTTAACCTCTATTACATAATATACTGAAATGAATATAACCAATTCCGGATTATTAACCGTAAAGAATACTGATTTTTACCATGTTCTTCGATTTCAGCAGCAATCGTTTGTGCGATGCCACCTTAAAATATATTAAATTAAATTCATCATAAATGCAGAAATAAGCTTTTAAACGAAAATAAATAAAATTACATTGCTTAAAATTGTAAATGTATCGAACTTCATAATGCTGGCAGGACTATCCGGATATATTCATTCCGTTGTTCTCATTCATCCGGATATATCTCGCTATATTCGAGATATATTCCAAGAATATTTCTTTATCTTACATCAAATATTTCTTACTAATAAATAATTGCTTATAATATTTTTGCTTACTAAAGAAAAATCACATATTCATTATAAAACTACAATTAATTTAAGTGGGAGATGTGCATGATTGCTTTAGCTTATGATATTGACGAACTTTAATGATAATTACATCTTTGATAATGATAACCACTTCTTTGCTTATTTTAATGATTTAGTCATATTTACTTACTACCAGCTCATATGTATCTCATATTTATATAATTTTTATGTATTCACATTTCCATAATTTTGATTGATTATTCCCGCATTATATATTTTTTGTGTTTAATTAATGAGTTTTGAGCTAATCTGTTCTAACAATCATTTAAAGTTAAATTTTTTTCCCAAAAGTTAAGCACACCTGTTACTTTTGCAAGAATCTTTTCTTTCAATTATTATTATTATTCTTATTATTATTAATTATTAATTATTATTATGATTCATTGCGTAGTCATGAAAATGCTATTGTTATTTTAATGAAATAATAATAATAATAATAATAATAATAATGGCATTTTGAAGACATTTCAACAATTTCTTCGACTTATTTTAGAGATAGAGAGAGAAGAGAGAGAGAGAGAGAGAAGAGAGAAGAGAGAGAGAAGAAAGCATTAACCATTTGAGGAATTCATAGAAATTCGTTGAAAATATCGGCAAACAAAGTAATTTTTATATAAATAATTCTTTTTTTTCTTAAACTTTTGAAAAAACAAATTGTTTCTTTTTGTTTTACATTTTCTTTTTATTTATAATTATTCCAACCAAAAATTATATTTTAAATAATTCTATCGCAACAGCAAATTAAAATTTCCTTTCATTAAAACAACAATAGCATTTTCATCATTACACAATCAATCACAATAACAATTAATAATAATAATAATATTAATAAATAATAATTAATGTTAATAAATGATAATAATAAATAAATAAATAATAATTAATAATGATGATAAAAATAATAATAATAATAATAATAATAATAATAGTAACTTTTCTGTACTTAATATTTAGCAATATTTATATATTAAACTTATTTGTACAGTTATAATATGTATATTTACTTTAGAAAGATATAATTACTAAGAAAATATAAATAAAAAGTAATTACCACGATAAAATAGTTGCAATGGATCAGAACTATTTGCAATATGTTGTAATGTGGCACCCAAATGATCTCTCGTAATGATATCACCTTCTTTGTATACCTTTTTAGTTTCCGGATTTACAAATACTTTCCTGAAATTGATTACTAATCATTTTACTAAGCCAATCTTATCTTCTTTTTCTCGTAGAAGTTTTAGCAATCTTATCATATTTAAAAAGAAGTTACTTCTTCGATTACTTTTGATTAATTATCACATCTTCCATCAGTATTCTATTAATGATGGAAGGAAAAAAGAAATAAAATTAAGTTAATGATTATTAATTAATGACTAATCTTTTTCTTTCACATTTCTTTCCTTGAAAAAAATATATGAAATGATGCAAATATTAAAAAAATTATGAAATAAATTATCATACAAGAAAAAGAAAAATATAACTTTTGAATTTATAATATAAAAGTAAAAAAAGAAAACGATAAAGTTTACTTCAATGATGGTTCAGCCAATATGACCTCTTCTGCTTTAGCAAGTTCATCTGCTAAAGCTGCCGAAATTGGAAATCCTTTCAATGCTAATTCAATGGATGGTTGAAATAGTCTAGACCAAGATATTTTACCACTTCCAAAACTTGAAAATACCGTCCATAATCCGTGTAATTCGGATGGTGTTGCAATAGAACGATATCCTAAATGTTAAAATGGCTTTCTTTTCTTTAAATTAAAAAAATTTATATTTGTTTTATTATAATCTTAACAATATGAAAGCTAACATATTATGTTAACTCCAATACAGGTAGATTAATATAAACAAAGTTATTAATCGAAATGCTTGTAATAAAATTTCATGAATTATATATTATTCTTTCTTACATATAATATATATTACAGCAAAATATTTTTAGCAATGTCTGAGGAAGCAAACCTTTTAAAATCGCTTCTGGTGAATCTTCGAACATTGTTTCATTTGATGTTGCTGGCGCAGTTTCACGTGCATTAACAACTATACATTTATTTGAAGAACTGAAATTACTTTTCAATTTCTTCACCTAATCAATATACGCTTCCATATTTCAACATCTAACAGATTTTCCGAACTAACAAAGATGTGATATGGATGTTGTTAAAATGATATTTAGAAATGATATTTTAAAATGTTGCAAAATAGAAAAGAGAAATGTCTCGGAGTTGTTCAAAGAGGCAATCTAATGTTAGCTCGTAATCTTTTAAAATGATAAACTAATCATGAATAAAGTATTAAATAGATAAGATTGTAAAACAAACAATAATAGGAGGAAGTAAACAGATAAATAAAAAATAGAAAGTAAATAGTAAACAAGAAAATGATTGATAAATAATAATAGCAAGCGAAAAGAATAATTTATACAGAAAATGATAAATAAACGAATAAGAACAAAAATAAGTAATTTAAATGATAGTAAAACAATAATGATCGAATAAAAGAGCAATTAATAAATTGATAAATAGCGAACATAATTATTGAACAAATAAGCAAAACAATTTGACAAATAGATGACAGATTAAAACGAAAATGGAAAATTAGAATTTTAAAAACTAACCTATTGTATATGGTCATCAGAAATCCACCACCTAAACCGGAACTTTGAGGATTTACAACACCAATACATACTAATGCTGCTACGGTTGCATCTATTGCATTACCACCAAGCATAAATACATCTCTTAAATTATTGATTTTTAATTATTTGCAAAATTAATTTAAAAAAGTAATAAAGTTTTTTTTGTTTAAAAAATGTAATAGAAATAGCAAATCATATTATGCTTGAATTTAAGGAACATTTAAACAATAATTTTAAGCTTACTTCATTTGAATTTTACTCCTCTAATTAATGATACGATATACAGGCTCATACGTTTCTCATAATTATACTTTAGATATTATATAGTTATCATTAAATGATCATGAAATGATTATCAATGTATCATCTCATTTTAAATGGAAACTTTGTAATTTAAATTTACGAAGTAACAAGATTTGTTTGTTATCATTTGTTGCACGAAAGTTCTGATTTTATCAGTTAACATTATTAGCGAAGAATTTTTTACATCAAAATTAATAGAAAGTCCGAGTGATTATCTTTTATTTCAAAATTTTGATTAATGAAATTAATAATATCGTAAATTTATAACAATGAAAATAAACAATTGTATTTTTTAAAACTGATTATAAAATAGAGAAGATTGCTGTAATTTGCAGCAGTAATACTATTAATGAGAATAAATAGTTTCAACATTTTAGAATTATTAATTTAATTTGTAATGAATACAATAGCTAACTACCGCTTACTATTTTTATCACTTCAGGATGTTATTATCATTCCTACTGATATTTCCAGGTATTTCATTATTTAGATTGACATGTAAATGTCCAATATACTATTAGCTTAAGAAATGATTCGTTATAAAAAAATGGTTTGAAAATGAAAATTTAATCAACAACAAATTTTTTTTTAATTAGCAAATTTCATTATTTAAATTAAACAAATATAAATATATAATTTTGAATGTTTCCTCGATTATCACAGCCAAAATAAGTATTGTAAAATTAGAAAAATCGTTATCAATATGTATTATAGACTAATCTTTTCTTATCATTATATCTTAACCCTTAAATGATACATTGCTATTCATAAATTTTATTTTAAATTTAAATAAATTTTATTTGAATTTTAGTTTTATTCTAAACTTCTGTTTCTTTTTAAATAAAGTAATATTATCTAAAATAAAATAATATTATCTTTTAACCTTCCAATTCCACTACATATGCCATTATCAGTTGCAATAGCGGCTCGTTTATAACGTCCATGGAAACTTTTACTTGGCTCTGGCCATTTTAACGGATTTTCTGATTTTCTACTTGTTGGTGGCGTTGTTGAATCGTTGCATTGAATTATTTTATCTGTTGCTATCTAAATTTTCTAAAATTATTTACGTATCATTCAAGAAATCACATTAACATATAATAATTAAAGCGATCAAATTATTTGCTAATAACTGAAATCATTTGTAAAAAATTTCGAAATGATTATATGAATCTATTTCAGATGGCATTTTTTCTTATTTTAATATCATCTGAATTATCATCTTAACCAATCTACCAATAACCTAACAATTATTTTCTTTTGCTGAATCAATAACATAACAATTGGTGAATAAGATATTTTTCACAATAATTGCATCGTTAACTTAATATATAACTATGATAGTTACAAAAGCTATAATCAGTTTAAAATTCAAATTTAGGATAAAAAAAAATTTTTGAATTGAAATTCAAAATTACTGGTTTTTCAGCGTATTTCATCCTCAGAAGTATCGCCAAAGCAATGGTGGAAGCAAGAAATATAGCCGTTGAAGCAGCAAGTAAAAAACCCGTTAATCGATGGCATCTGCAACAAACGAAATAGTTAATGATTGATGGATAGCGTTGTAATTATTTTCATGAAAAAAGAAATATAAATTATAATAATATCTATTTCTAGAATTTTTTGATCCATTTTCATTTCCAAAATCTGTTCATTTTTTAACAAAAACGCTTTTGAAATAATCAATTTAAAAAAAATCGATTAAAGAAATTAATTTAATTTTAGATTTATTATTATTATTATTATTTGATAATGATCAGTGGAAGACAAAAAATATTATTATAACATAGCTTACCTTTGATAACGACAATTTATTATCATTTTATTTCGACGATTTTTTTTCCTTCTTCTCATTTATACGATAAGACAACAGAATTTAAATTTAAAAGAACAATGCATAAAGTAATTTAATTTTGTTTGTTTTAAAAGATGGCGAAGAAAATTGTTGCAAATGAAAGAAATATTATAAAACAAAAAAGAGAGAAATGAAAAAGACGCGAAAAATCTCTAATGACATTAAATTAAACAAATAATTAATAATAATTAATAATAATAATGACAATTTTTGTTCTGACACTATTTCAACGATATTTTAATGATTAAAAGATAATTTAAAGAAATAACAAAAATGCTTTAAAAAAAGAAGCAAAATTTGTTGAATGAACAAACTTTACGAAACATAAAAATAGCAAAAAATAATGGATGAGTTTTAAAATTTACTGAAAGAAAAAGTTGTAAAATTGCTTAAAACAATGGTGGCAATAATTTAGCAAAATTGCATTGAACCATTTTTAGGCCAACTTTTTTTTGTTCATCCATTTCCAAACAAAATTTTCATTTTTGATTAATTCAGATTTTTCTAAAAACTATAAAAGGAATCATTTATTTTCATGGTTTGCTAAAATTGGTCAAAATTGGGTAATTATTTAGCTAAAATTAGTTATAATTATATGATAATTATACGATCATCAGGCAGATTATAAAACTTTTTTTCCCATTAATCGCTTAGTAATGAAAAATTTGTTTAGTAAAATTCGTAAAGATTTAAATTGCTACAAAGAGTGATTTTAAAAAAAATTTTTTTCAATCTATTTTCTATTAAATAGAAGTAATTAAGAGTATTAGTCGAATATTTAAAATTAAAATACTCGAATATCTGAAATGAAAATATAGGAATTAAAATATTAAAGTTAGTAGGAATATATTTGAATTAGAAATGTTTATTATGAATATTTCATTTTTTGAGCGATCTGCAGTAAATGAGAAGAAATAATCGAAATTGGTACTAAATTATTAGTTTCTCTTTGAAAAGATTGACCTTTAAAAGTAAGAAATATTTCAATGTAAAATGGCTATATTTAAATTTGTTGAAATTTTAACAACACTTACTTTTGTAAAACAATTATATTACATATTGGAAACGATTTAAAAATGAAATGCTTTTGATGTTAATTTGGAGGAGGAAACTTTCGATATATAATTTAATTTAACTAATTACATTTTAGGTCAATGGGAATTCATAAATGACATGAAATCTGAGGTATGAAAGTGATTTAAATTATTTAAATATAAAATAATATAGGATTTAAATCTTAAAATCAACATAATAATTTTCAAATCTTTTTAAGAAAAATCTATTGGTTACCTATCTTCTGCGCCATATGTATCAGTGTTAAAATATTAAGCAAAAAAGAAAGTAAATTCATATGTTAGTTGACGTTTCACATAGAATGTTCACTGTAATATTATTACTGTAGTTATAATTAATCATTTAATTGTTCTACCGTATCTATGCTTAAAAATTCATCTCAAACAATGCTTACTACATAATATCAATTAGTTTTGAAGAGGAAAAAAGTTTTATAAATTAATAAACTAAACTATTATTTCTTCTATGCAAATTCAATTATAATACTAATTGTGTCCTCCTATCATACAGTATTTCAGTATTCATTACATTCTATCATGCAGTATTCTTGTATTAAGTTTTTTTCTATATAATGAATAATTATTGTAAATTAATGAATGATAAACTTTATTTTACCCTTTTGTTGTTGATTGGGTAACTTTTGCAGATGTTTCATTAGCATGATTTAGTGTATCATTGGTTGTTGAATCAAATAATTCTACCGTTTTCATCGTTCCTCGCTAAAATATCTAAAAAAAATTTTGTTGCTGAAATTTTTGGCACAAATCAATTTTAAGTTATTTCTAATGCTTCCCTTTCTTTTTGTCAATTTTATATTTATCCTTCAAAACTTCGAACGTTTTATTATTAAAGCACTTTCTCTGTAAACTTTCATATTGTCCCATTAAAATTTATAAATAAAAAACCGGATAAATTAAACGAACATTACAGCAAGATAATAACAAATAACGTATTGTTAAGGATGAAGAAATATGGAACAGTTAAGTTTCAGTTTTATTAAAATAGAAAGATAACAACACGATGCGTTAGTTAGTTACTGATTCACTAATCATTTTTTGATTCACTGACAAACATACTATATGACTGATCTAATTTAATTGAAATAATTTAATATTCAATTTCATTTTTATAATTTATTGTTCAGTTTCGTTAATAATGTGATCAATAATATGGAAATGCATCTATGATAACAACAAAAATCATTTGATCATAACATATTAGAAAATGTCCAAAGTTCACAGTTCAAAAACTATTTACATCAACAATCAATCTCAAAAATATGTGACAAAGAAAGTTTCATTTGCTAAACAATCAACAGGAAATGCTTAAAATAAAATAATGATTAAGCAATAATTCAAATGCTATATTTGTACGTGTGTGTGTGTGTGTGTGCGTGTGTGTATGTGAAGAAAATTGATTGATCGATTTAAATATGAATGAAAATAATATTTGCTATTAACAGAATTGATTTTCTAAATGATAATTTGATAATGATAATTTCCTATAGCTTTCTTTTTCTTTCAACAAATGCTAAGAATTCTCGGATAGGACGGATATTTTACTGGTATTTTCCTTTCTTTTATTCTTGAGGTAATGCAATACTCTTCTCATTAATATGATTGGAATGATATAATGATAAGAGCATTATGTTGCCTCAAATTTTAACAGTAACTATGCTAACAGATGGAAAATATTGTCAGCATGTAATTATACATTTTAATGATAATTAGCAATTAGAGTGATTAGAATATTGGTGACAAAGTTATGAGATACTAAAATTGATGAATAATCATACGATGGAATGATAAAAGATAGCAATACAATTAAAATAAGAGGGGAATAAATTTAATGGAAATAGATTGGAAAAATGACTGGTAGGAGGTGGTAAAAAATTGGAGAGGTAAAATGATAGGAGGGGAATGAGGGAGAATTATGAATTGGAAAGCAATAAAATATTTGGCATGAAAAATCATCAATTGATTATATTATATTAATATTGATTTCATATGATGACAGTCTTCGGCAAATGTACCAAAAAAGGATAAAAAAGATTTTTTTATTCAAAAAAAGTTTTAATTAATAATTTTTAGAAAATATTCAAAATTGAAAATTTTCAATTATTTCAAAGAGAAATTTCAATTTAAAAGTTAAAAATAAATGAAACTTTGAGCATTATCTAAATTTTAAATATTTAATTTTTAAAACTATTCTTTTTCAACATTTTTTGTTTATTTGTTCTCATTAATTATCATTTAATAATGAATATGTGATGAAGCCTTAATTCATATTTTAATGCATTATTTTCATCACTACATTTTGATAGATGCTGATAGAAGCTTAGTATCTACTGAATAAATTCAAAACGATAATAAAAAGAAAAAAA